ATTCTTCACCTGCAGTATAACCGCATTAATCGTCTGTATCAAGCTGCGGAGATATTCCTGCTACAGATTATCGAAATGGATTCCTGGGTTGGAATTGTCACATTCCATTCTACAGCACAAATTACATGTAATCTAAAACAAATAGTCACTGAGAATGTACGCCATGATCTTACCAAATGCCTGCCTACATCAGCTGGTGGAGGAACTAACATCTGCGCAGGAGTATACAAAGGATTTGAGGTGAAGGAGAACTTGCGGGGAATGTATCCTGGAATGCAGTGATAATGAAATGGAACTAAGAGGAGAATAGTGAGTAGGAGTAAGGAGGTGATATCACCTCTGTGTACAGCAGAATTGAGACTATCACTGAAATACTGTCTCTGGATCTGGTGTCCACATTTCAAAGCCGATGTTAGGGAAACTGGAAGGGTTCAGAATAGAGCTACAAGAACAATTAAATGTTTGGAAAATGTGTTTTATAGTGAGAGACTTAGGAAGCTCGATCAAGTTAGTTTAATAGGAGCAGGTTTAGGACCTAAGCAATTAACAAGGCCCTGCAATGTTTATACTAGTAAAAAAATTAAGATTGCTTTGAGAAAATCTTACAAGAATGCTTTGCCGGAATCTCAAGGCATTGTGCAGAAGATCAAAATCATATAACTTCTCATATAGAAAATCCAAATTTTGTTTATTTTAACATTGGTTTAAGCATGGTTTTATTCTGAAAAGGGGTTATGTAAAATGGCACCTTCATGCTCCATGATTTCTCAAGTCACTTTCCAGAATGGGCATGGACAGGCTTCCACATGCCCTGTGCATATGCTGTCATTGGCAGCAAGACCTGGAGTGGGGGCCGGCAGACACACATTACTACTTCTTGGAATGCTGTAAGGAGTGTGCTAGACACCTCTCCCCTTAACCATCCTGTCTTGTACAGGCAGTGTAATTCAGACAGCTTCAATTCAACTCTTGCCACATGACACAGCCTCCTACGCCAGCACAATTCACACTTGTAAGAAAAATATTTTGCCTTACACTAGCACTTTAGGAATTTCTCTTGATGTAGACACTGCCTGTGTTAGAGCAGCTAACATTTACAATAAAGTCCTATTGCTAATACCTGCAATTTTCTTCTCAATTCAGGTGATTAAACAAAAATATTCTAATCTCGATGGTTCTGAAATTGTACTGCTGACGGATGGAGAGGATAAGAATATGAGCAATTGCCTTACGGAGGTGAAAAACAGTGGATCGATCATTCACACCATTGCCTTGGGGTCAAATGCTGTTCGAGAACTAGAAGAATTTTCAGACATGACAGGTAAGTAAGTTTCTAAACTAATCCTGCTTTTGGCATGCACACCTGAAGCATGAAATGTAAAACTAGAGTGGTTTACAGCTTGTAATATGAAAAGAAAATAAGGTCAACTAATTCCAGTCGTATTAACAGAATGTTTATTTTCAGCTGAATAAACACAACAATATTGGGAGCAATTGTTTATCTTTATCTGTTGTTGCTTTAAAAAAAAACCTGTATCCTGATTACACCCTGCGTAATAGCGAGGCTTGATAATTATATTACTGGAGGATTTTCCTTTAAACAAAAAGATAAGCTCAGTGTTTAAACGATTAACATTTTATTTCTGATGTTTACATAGCAGTGACATGCAAACCTATTAATGTCCTAAGTAGTTAAATAATGACCAACTCACAAACAGTCATGGCTGGAGGGCTCTAGCTGAGGAGTCAGCAACCACAGTCTCTGTACTTGGAACTGGAGGGCTCAGTCAGGTCTGGCTTTGGGTGGGGGCGGCATGTTCCTTTTGA